GTTTATCTTGATCTCCGAGAATTGAGATCTTTCAAATCGAAGTGTTGAAATCGCATCTCGCAGGCCATGATGTCGTTGCGATTCTGCCAACAGGCTTGGAAAAGAGTGTTAAACTCGGTTTACATTAGAGGAGATGTTTCGGAATTCGTAAATGTTTCCGGATTCATTAATTTTATAGTATTCGGATTCGTGGGTGTTTACACTGAAAGGGTGTTCTGATTCTTGACCATTAACACACGACGACAATTCAGGGAACATTCATGATGGAATGGTTAACAAGCTGTTTGTTGCGTCCACAACGAGAAACAAGAAACTAGATCCGCCATTTTAGTTCTACTGTAAACTCAAAAGATCACAGGCTGAATTAAAATAAACTGGAGAACAAAGAAAGCTCATCTGCCAAACTTGATTTAGAAATATATAAACCAAGCAAATATAGCCTTCATGAAACATTAGGGGGGTGGTTTGGCCCCTACGTGAAAATCGTTTACACGACAAAACTCTCCGGATTTAAAGTTCGTACTTTAAGTTCCGGATTCAAAATCTCCGTAGGCACGACCAAACTGGGGAGTTTTTATATCGGATTCGTCCACTTGTGTGTAAACGAGAAAACCAATGAGGTAGTAAAACGTTCCGGATTCGTCACGAATTCGCAACAATTTTCTCTAGTGTAAACCTAGTCCTATTTATCAAGTGTTTTCGAAGATTTCTGCTTCGAACCAGAATGCGAGTGGGTTAGTGATTTCGCCGCTCAACAACCGCAGAACAAGTCAGTGAACTGACGGTGCTTGACCTTTCTGCACGATACAAAATGCATGATAGGCTCGATTCCCGCTGCTCTTTTTAATCTGGTAATCGAGCCTAAATTTATTACCGCGGGGTGTGTACTTCCTCTTATGGGCTATATAGGTATGAGCGGCCCCAAAGGGTATGGTTTTTCAGCTGTTTTGGTCATAAATAGGGTATCGATTTTAGCTGATTTTCGCCATTTTGGTCATAAATAGGGTATGGTTTTTGTATTCTAGCCTTAATATGGGTATTTTTTCTTAAGAAGAAGCCACTTTTTCATCATTACCGGAAAGAAAATAACAAAAGCCCTTCACAAATTATGTTTACGGTAATTTAACATTGGTCTGTACTAGGGAACGAGTTATAACGCAGGTCTGAAACAGGGTTTTGATTTGACGGTC